ATTGGGAATCCCATTGTTGGAGGACCCAAATCCCATTGTTGGAGGACGCAAACCCAATTGGGAATCTCATTCTTGGAGGACCCAAATCCCATTGTTGGAGGACCCAAATCCCATTGTTGGAGGACGCAAACCCAATTGGGAATCCCATTGTTGGAGGACCCAAATCCCATTGCTGAATGACCCAAATCCCATTGGGAATCCCATTGTTGGAGGACCCGAATCCCATTGGGAATCCCATTGTTGGAGGACCCAAATCCCATTGTTGGAGGACCCAAATCCCATTGTTGGAGGATGCAAACCCAATTGGGAATCTCACTGTTGGAGGGCCCAAATCCCATTGGGAATCCCATTGCTGGAGGAGCCAAATCCCATTGCTGAATGACCCAAATCCCATTGGGAATCCCATTGCTGGAGGACCCAAACCCCATTGTTGGAGAACCCAAATCCCATTGGGAATCGCTTGGTTGGAGGACCCAAATCCCACTGTTGGACAACCCAAATCTCATTGGGAATCTCATTTCTGGAGGACCCAAATCCCATTGTTGGAGGACCCAAATCTGGAGAACCCAAACCCCATCAGGAATCCCATTGTTGGAGGACCCAAACCCCATTGGGAATCCCATTGTTGGAGGACACAAACCCCATTGGGAATCCCATTGTTGGATGACCCAAATTTGGAGGACCCAAATCTCATTGTTGGAGGACCCAAATCCCATTGTTGGAGGACCATGGCGGGGGTCCAGGATGAAGGGGGGGGGAGGACCAGGCCTGGGGAGGGGGAAGAGAAAGCACAGAGGGGGACGAGCGGATGGGAATGATGGATTGGAGGAGCCAAATCCCGTTGGAATCCCATTGCTGGAGGACCCAAACCCCATTGGGAATCCCACTGTTGGAAGACCCAAATGTGAAGGACTCAAATCCCATTGGGAATCTCATTGCTTTGGAGGGCCCAGATCCCATTGGAATCCCATTGTTGGAGGACCCAAATCTGGAGGACCCAAATCCCATTGGGAATCCCTTGGTTGGAGGACCCAAATCCCATTGTTGGAGGACCCAAATCTAGAGGACCCAAATCCCATTGTTGGAGGACCCAAATCTGGAGGACCCAAATCCCATTGTTGGAGGACTTGAATCCC